ACACCAGAGTGATTCTACTCCATGACATTAGTTGTCATCATCATCATCATCATCATCACTGGAACGCGTAAGTCCGTAGAGGCACCCTTGTCATATCATACCATCTCAACTGCAAATAAAATAAAATATAAAAATGCAAGAATGAGAATGTAATAAAACATTAGAAAACAGGTGTGAAAATAAAATAAATTATAACAATATTATTACGAGAATAAAATAAATTATAATGGTATGAGTATTAGAGTAAAATAGCATACAAAAGTACGAGCATGAGAATGAAATTGAACGTAACAGTACGAGGATAAAACGAAATATAACAATTTAAAATAAATGATAACAGTACAAACATTGGAAATAAAATATACAAGAGCAGAAGAATGGTGAATAAGATGTAGTTGTGTTGTTTTTGTTTGAGTGTAGACAACAAACTTACCAGATATACTCATTACTGCAATGAAAGTGAATATTAATATCTTCTGGAATATAAGTCGCTGTAGTCTTGGAAATTTACCAACGTTTCGGAAGAAGAGGTTGCATCCATCTTCCAGGTACTCTGAAGCAAGTTCCTCCTAAACGTTGGTAACTCTCCACCAGACTGAAGGGCGTTACATTCTCATACAATATTCTTCATGCTAACACATTAACTTTAGCTAATTCCCTTATTTTTAAAAAAATAATTAGGCATATGATATCACTTTGCTGTCTATGCGTCATTATCACCCCTAACAACTTTTCATTACCGGAATCAATAATTATGTAATTGGGTACGTATGTTATGGAACCAGAGCCCATTTCAACGGCGTAATTCATAAATCGCTCCCATCAATACTACCAACATTACAACCTCTGAAATTTCTTAAGCTAAACTTTAATATCCTTTGGACTCCATACCTATGAATTTTTCTCAGCAGCGTACTTCATTAATACCTTAGATTAGTAATACCAACATTACAACCTCTCAAATTGTTGAGGTATTGCCCTTAATATTACTCGATTTCCTGAACCGAATGTCATGAGTTTTGGTAAGTACACCATGGAATCTGAGACAATCTCAATGGCGCATATCATAAATCCCTCTCATCAGTAATATCAATACTATAGCCTTTTTGCGGAAATATTACTATACTCGAACTGAGCGCCATGCGACTTAGTGTGTATATGATGCCACCTGAGGCCATCTCAACAATGTGCTCGAAAAGTCCCTCTCACCAGTAATACGAACACCACAACCTCTCAAACTGTTGAGGTTACACGGTTAATATTACTTGAATTCCTGAACCGATGGGCATGAAACTTGGTCTGTATGCGTCATGCCGTCTGACGTCATCTCAAAGGCATACATCATAAATTCCTCCCATCAGTAATACCAACACTGCAGCCCTTCAGACTATTGAGGTAATGGCCTTAATATTACCTGAATGCCCGAAACATTCATGACACTTTGTACACCTCTCATGTCATCTCAGACAACCTAAACGGCGTGAAACATAAAATACCCCATCAGTAACACCAACACTGTAGCCCTCCAAATATTATTGTTTTATTGACTTCATTAGACATATACTAAAATTGTCTTGCTACTTGTCTTATACGGTGAAAGGATAAGTAGAACATTAGTTTTTCTCAGAACGTTTTCTTTATTACGATTATTAAACAGTATTTCAGATGTTTCATTCTTGTGTCATAAGAAGCGTTTAATTTATTGATAACTTGCTTCATTAATATACAGCACTGATGAGAGACAGGTGTCAGATTTTTATCTTGTACGGTTTTATCGGAAAATTTAATTAAACTCTCGTGGTCTGTGGAATGCCAAATTGAGGAACAAGATTTATGCTTTTTATGATTCTCTATTTTATGCAGATTGCCTTGTTCCAGAATCTCTGGTGCGCCAGTAAGGGAAACCGCCATAGCTGCACACTATTCGTTCAAATAAAGAGGTGGCTCTATAACGCGCTGCTGTATGTCTTCACCTGCTGCACACTAAGTCATGAAGGGCGCCGCTTTCTGGGATGTGAAACCTTGTGACAGATACCCATGTAACAAAATTCTCGGCGTCACGTAATGTCAGGATGTAATCGTGAACATTTGAAACAAAAGTTATAATCTTATCTTCTCCCTAAACTTCATCATGTTCTTCATCTTCCTCCTACAATGGACTATTATTTTCCTTTACATCTTATACCTCCTACTCTTTCTTGTTCTCTTAATATCCGTCTCCTTGTTGTTTTCACCTCTTCCTTTTTATGTTATTTCATGTCCTTTCTCTACAGAAATCAGGATAGCTCAGTCAACACAGCGACGGATTTGGAGGCTCTGGTTCGATTCCAAGCAGTGAAAGCTTTTTCACTTCTGCGCACCGTTCAGACCGACTCTGGGGCCCACCCAACTTCCCACAAAAATTATAACGGAACTTCTTTCCTCGGGGTCAATCAGCAGGGGCGTGAAACTGATCACTCGCATCCATCTAGTGCCGAAGTCATGAAAAATGGAGCTATACCTCCAGTCACTCATATGCCTCCGTGGCATAGTGCTTAACTACTTAAGTACAGGGACAACTTTGCTTTTTACATCTATTTCCTCGCTTCAAATCTGCTACCATCACCGTAACACGCACCGCTACTACTCCTGCTGCTGCTACTAGTAAATGACGTTTCCTCTTTTTCTCTCTTCACTCCTCCCTTCAATTTATCGTTCTTGATTTTCTGTTCTTCCATCATCATCATCATCATCATCGTTGTCGTTTCCTCTGCTTACCGATACATGGCCCTTACGATCTGAGACCAGGACCTAAGGGCGAGTGTACACCATAGAAACTGGCAATTGCAATGCAACCATAACTTGGAGATGATGTCATGTTTCCCGATTAGCATGCGCATTCTGAGAAAAAATTACGTTTGATTAGTTGCTCACGCCATGTCAACTGTTTAATACGTCACCGTAATTTTTTATTTTATGCACTTCAATTCTGCAGTGTTAGATAATATTATTGATCCTGTCGAATTATGTGTGTTCAAAAAGTATGGAACCTTCTTCTTTCTCGCGTAAACCAATGAAGCGCGGGAGGCTCCCTTCAGTGAAGATGTGGAAGGGACATTCCTGCGCAGTCGTGAATTTTTTCCCTCCCGCAGAAAGCGTCAGTCGCTGGCAGTCGGCCTATGAGTGAGGACGTATAGTGAGCGCTCGTCGGATTCCAGTAAGGTGTAAAATGAAGGAACAACATGAGCAGCAATATTGCATCAAATTTTGCCAAAAGCTTGGCGATACCCAAGTGGAAAACATTCGCGAGATTCAACAGACTTTCGGGGACGATACCATGAGCAACTCACGGATAAAGGAGTGGTACAGCCGCTGNTGGAGGATCGTCGTATCACAGTCCGAGAACTTGCGAACGAGATGGGGGTAAGCATTGGATCGGTACATTCAATTTTTACCGAGAATTTGGGCATGAGGAGATTGTCCGCGAAATTCGTACCGAAACTGCGCATCTGATTCAGACTTTCGTCGCCAAACACAACATCTCTGTGGTTCGTCAGGCTCCCTACTCCCCCGACATGGCTCCGTGTGACTTTTGGCTATTTCCCAAGCTGAAAATGCCGCTGAAAGGAACCCGATTTGAGTCAAGAGAAGACATCATGCGGAATGCGACAGCCCGGCTGATCACCATTCCAAAAGACGCGTTCCAGAAGTGTTTCCAACAATGGCGGAAGCGCTGGGAGAAGTGTGTGCATTACCAAGGAGACTACTTTGAAGGGGATTAGGGGTTTGTACCTCCAAATCAATAAATGTATTTCTGCCTACCAAAGGTTCGATACTTTTTGAACACACTACATATACCAGAATCCTTCACCTCGCATGAAATTCTTTTCCAAGCCAAATCAATTCTGTCCCGCCTGCCACAGTCTGTATGGCACTAGTCACGTGCACTTTACTCCTGCTCAGCTAACTGCACAGACACAAAACTCTCAGCTTCATCAACCCTACGTGCCAGCGCAGAAGAGAAATCACAGAAGGATATTAAAACAGATTACGCTAAAAAAACTAGTTTCAAACGCGACTATGAAAAGACTGGTTAATAAATTTTCCTGGGAGTTGAGTTGCAGTGCAGTCGCGTTGCCTTTTCTCCAGTTTGCGTTGGTCAGTTCAGTTTCACGTGTTCTTCAATCTGGTAACCCTTCTTTAAAGTTTCAGTTGTGTTGCGGTTGCCCTAACACTCCCATAATATCGTCGTTACAACTTAAATCAAATTATTAATAAACTGTAATTCCTTTTGGGCTGACAATGATAACTTAATTGTTGGACATAACGTTGTTGTCCATGCATGGTTTATAGAAATCATGTGTCACTGGGCATCTCGGTCGAAACGCGAAGGTGAAACGTGAAGTTACAGAACGAAAATGTCATCGAAGTACTTCACTTTAGTGACATGGAAAATTTGGAAATACAGCCACATGACGACGGAAACAGATCCAGGTTACGAAAGGTTTTGCCATTTAAAACAGCGGACAATGGTCACCAGAAGTTCCGAGTATTCTCGTCGATCCTCAGAACCATTTAGAATCTACTTGCTTATACAGGAGTTGGCACCTATCCCTCAGGTGTCATGCTCTAGCAGTGGTACCGTAACTTCGTGTAATCAAGTGTGGCTAACAACAGACCGTGTCGGACTCAATGTTCGTGTAATATCTGTCTTTATATATTCATTGTACCGAAAAGTGTGGTCTAGCACTGATGCTCTGGGCTCGATTCGAATCTCGCCGAGATACCGGCTATTCGGCTGAGGTTTTCCGTGGTTCTCCTTAGTCTCTCCGAGATAATACCTAGACTACACAACGAACGCTTTCTTCATAGTCCTTCCAAATTCATCATCCTACCGTTTGACACTAATATCGATGCTGAAAAACGTCGTTAAATAACCAACAGACAAAGGCTATTCATCTTAGAATTTACTTCGTTTCTGATGTCTCGCATGTGTGTGAGAGTAACACATAAGTACACACCTTGTTTTCCACAGGGCCAGGAGCAAAGTTGCGGCCACCTTTCTCGTCTTCCACAGCCTTCTGAAGCGCCACCATGATCCTGTCCAGCAGGAGGGCCGTTCTTTTCGGAACTACCACCTGCACACATGCAACATATTTATGGTAAGTAGTGACATGCAGACCCACGGAAAGAACGTTCCCAGTTATACTCGGTTGTCACAGCGATATATCGACCGGACAGCTGTCCGACCTACCTACTGAACTGCATGGCATCATACTGTGGAGTATTTGCTCAAAACAAGAATGGTGGAGGCAGAGAAACAGCAGTTGCTATGTAATGGCTCGTAAACAAGGAGCCGAGAAACGCGTCACATACGCTGTGAAGTCACGAAGCAAAGAAGAGGTCTTGCAAGCGGCGTTCTCTGTGAATCCGTGCCACGCTCGTTACTACGCAGAGGTGCGGTAAACACATTTCTGCAACAGTGAATGAACACGCAATAATAGAGGAAGCGGAATTTTCTGTGGGCCCACCTCGAGACTATATAACGAGGATATCATGCAGCTGAGAATTCGGTCGAAGTTGGCAGTTGCCGCAGAAAATTGAGAGAGTCGGAAGTCGAAAATAATTAAGAACAATGACAATAAAGTAATTCATTTGTGTAAAGAAGAATTCATATGTGAGTCTGGTGTAATTATTGTGTTGAATTTCGTTGCCAGGATACGACTAGTGAAGACTGAGAACCCTAGTGTGTTTGTAACGGTGAACTGTAAAGTGTGTAAATCAGCGATAGCACTGTATTACTTGTAGTCTCGAGTTTAATATATAAGGTTTTAATAAATTCAATCATCCAATCCAAAAGCTGTCTATAAGTCACGCTCGTACTCCAAAAATGTGACAATATTCTAGATGACCGTATGTTAACACGATTCGTCTTCTAGCCTCTAATTTATGATATTGCGAACTAGGAAGGAGAATGACACGTCAAGAGACTTAAGAAACGTGTAACGGTGGAATATAATGAACAAAATACTGTGTCGTGATGGAGTGACTGTAGATTTGGTTTGAATTGGTAATCGGATTTATTGGACCCTTAAAATGTTCGTGACTACACTTCACAAATCATTATCACAGAAAAACTAGTGTTTTTAATCGCCGGTCTTCACCACTTCTTCTAACAGCGGACGATCCTCTGTCCCGGGCTAACGTCCTCGTAGGGTGGCGACCATCTCACGCCAACCTCCTATTCTTCTAACTGCCGTAGCAAGCCTCTCTCTGAACTGATTCGTAACGGTAGCAGGTCTTCGTTATGTAGCCTCGGCATGGACCGCACAGAAGACACCGTTTTCAAGAGTTCTTCTATTTTTGCTTGCTTTCATGTCTGGTACTGCCATCACGCGACAGCTACTGAGATATTGCCTAATAACGGGCATGTTTGCAGAGCCATTCCCTAGCAACTGCTGTCTCTGCTGGCTTACACAATTTAACATAAGAGTGTCTGTTGGGAGAATAGCCATAAATTCGATCTTAAAAGATAGGATGTGAGGGTGTGAACTGAGTTTATGACTCAGATTTAGATCCAGTGTCCGACTCTGGTGAAGATACACGAAGGAGATTTTCTTATACATCTGAGTAAATCCTAACCTATCAAGGATTCTGATCAATGAAGTTAACAGGCCTACTGTGTAGTAAGGAATTCTCATATTGTGCTTATTTGGGCTGTAACGCATCATTTCTCAAAAATGTCTGTAGAATTCTACCAGGCTACACGGCGTCATGTCCCGAAAGAACGATAATCCTCATATTTACTGTGGGAACCAAAAGCATTTCACATCATGTAACAGTGTGTGCTAATAATTAACTATAGTTGTATGAAGTCCCGAGAAGGTGAACAATTACCTCTTTTCCACGTCGTCCAGACTACTTCTGGGGCCCACTCGGCCTCCCATTCAATTGGTACCGGTGGTTTGTCCGGCGGTAAAGCGGTAGGAGCGTGAAGCTAACCACTCAACTCCAACAAGCGTCGAGATAAAGAAAACATGGTTCCATATATCCACTCCCCATACGTCTTCATGGCGTAGTGCTTAATTAGTTAAGCACATGGCCAACTTTACCTTTTTACATACGTATGGCAAGACCAAACAAAACAGTAGGTGTACTCAGCGTGTTCGAGAAACAGGCGTATTCATGTGGGATCGTGTACTTACTCTGGTGTAGAGGTGACACCGACGCTGTTTCAAAGCCGTGAAGGTGTACAGTTTCTGGAGCGTAAGGCCTGAATTTTATATATTTTAACCTTGGCGTCAGGTGCATCTCATGATCAGTTTCACGTTCTGCCCATATTTATACTCAAAAATAAATTCATAGGAAGGTGGTGAAAATAAGTTGGGGAAAGGAAACGAACACGAATCCTCTTAGCTATTTCTAATGGGCCCAAATGTGTAGGTGTCTTCTCTCCCCTTCACCTGAGAACGGAAACAAGTTCAGTTTTCGAAACGTCGTGTTTTATATTCTCTAGAATACCGGACAATGGAAAAGTCCAAACAGCCAATAAGCGTCTGTGTTATACACCGTCATGAAAACCCACCAATAGATTTCCCGTTCCTTGGCGGTGGCACAGTGTATAAGTAGACTGCATTCCCTGCGTTTCAGAGTTCATTGCTGCCTCCATCTTCAGGGCGAAGTGATCACTGAAATTGTCTCTAATGAAACGGAGCAGTTCCCTCAACCATATACACCCCAGATTCCGTGGAATTCATTCACCTTGAAGCTTCAGGTATTAATTATTTCCGAAATGTTGGCAATATAGCCGACATTTACAAGTACCATCCCCCAGAAACAGGATCAGCAGTAACATAGAAGCGCCATGAAGACTTAGGTTCTTTTTACTATAAGCATAAGCTTATTGTTTTTGTACATTGTTGGTATAATTATAAATCTTACCTCCACACTACCTCGCTTCTGTTGTCCGAATTAAGATTCGTCTCTCCAACTTTCTGCCAGTGTTTCAGTTCATCTCGCGGCATATAATGAACACCACTTCTCTTCCCTTCTCTAATATAATTCTATCAACAGTTCTGCACATTTTATTGTAAGTATAGTTTTGCCCCATTTTGAGTATCAAAATGTCGGATATCAGCTGCCTGACTGTAGGCATACTGCTGTTATGAATTTCATATAACTTTTCATCCAATATTCTTCTTGCAAGGTTACGTCCATAATTGGGAATCATCAGTGTGGGCTGAGACATATCAGAGCATCTACTGATCAGATCTCTTGCTTTCGCCAGGTATTGGAAAGCACATCAGCTATCCAGAGACCTGAAGAAAGTCTATGATTCATTTAGGACAGAAGTATTGTATTATATTCTCATAGAGTTTGGGGTACACACGTCACTTGCTAAGCTTATTAAAATGTGCCTACTATGACATTTATAGTAAAGATAATATTAGAAAAATTGTCTGATACGTTTCCTGTTCGCAGTGATCTAAAACAAGGAGATGCTTTATCGTCATTGCTTTTAAAATTTGCTTTATAATAAATCATCAGGAATGTCCAAGAAAATCAGGTGGGATTGAAAAAAACGTGACACATCAGCTGCTGGTCTATGCTGATGATACGAAATCAACTGCGAGATAATATAGGTACCACAAAGAAAACATAGNGAAAATCAGGTGGGATTGAAAAAAACGTGACACATCAGCTGCTGGTACCACAAAGAAAACATACGAGCTCTATTTGACGTTAGTAAGAAGGTTCTTCTAGTAGTGAACGCATAGAAGACTGAGTATATGTTGCTGTCTCGGTGGCTATGATAGAAAGATGGCTACCAGAACATCCGCAAGTGCGACGAAGTTCAAACATCTGGTTACGTGAGTAACAACTGGAAAGAGGCCACGCCCTAGCTCAAGCGGTTAGTCGCTGGCTTCCCACCGCGGCGGTCCGGGTTCGATCCCGGGTCTGGTCAAGTGGGATTTGTGGTGGACAAAGTGGCGCTGGGGCAGGTTTTCTCCGAGTACTTCGGTTTCCCCTGACAATCTTTATTCCGCCAATTGCTCCACAATCACCCTCACCGATTATCTGGGGCTAGTAAAATAGGCCAGAAGTGGCCGCAGTGCAAGGGACTCAGTCCCACCCCACCAAGCAATTAAAAAACTGGAAAAGTGATCCAAAAAGAAATTAAGATGAGACTGAATTCGTGTAACGCTTGCTACCATTCAGCCCAGAAATTTTGCCTTCTCGTCTGCTGTCTAAAAATGTAAAAACAAAAATATACGTAACTCTAATTTTGCCTGTGGTTCTATTTGGTTGCGAACCTTGGTCTCTGACATTAAGAAAGGAACGTAGACTGAAGGTATTTGAGCCTTGCTGAAGATCAGCTGGCTCTTGTGCGTGACGTCATGGCGTCTGCCTGTTACTGTATTCCATCTTCACCCCCATATGTTGACATATTATCTTTGTGATTGCCTATGTATCACGTGACCTTCTATCCCCCTTCCGATGTCGAGGAAGGAAACGAGACCTGCTTCGCAGTCGGTGACGCTGCATAGTCGAGATCGTCGAGATGGTCGAGATAGGGCCCTTACCAGCCAGCGGGGATCGCTACTGGAAATTCTGTTTCGATCTGGTACCTCTAAATTGCGTTCGGTAAATCTTCCGTGGCTGACTGGTAAGGTAAAGGCTGCCCGCGATCGCAAGCCATTGGCTTTAGAACGATTGCGATACGCGCATTTATTTGTTTATTTATTTTATTATTATAATTATTATTATTATATGTGTTTTTCTGGAGTAACCTATTTGACACCTAAATGATGTTAGTGAAACTGGGCAGGTTAGCTTATTCTCTGTCGCAACTGTTGGCAACAATGGTTGCTGCGCAATGGTTGATTTGGGTTGTTGTGCCCCGTTTGTGCCTTGATTATGTATTTTTTGTATATTTTGTGTAAGTCTGTTATGTTGTCATTAAACTTTGTTATTGTTATCTGAAAGGCCAACGTATCACTGTAGCTTCTCCATATTGCTTGGATACCCCACGAATATCTTGGGGAGCTTGTAAACACAGCAACAGAGCCAGCGACGACGGGCTGCTTCTCCCGACTTCACGGCTGGAATAAGTAAATTGAGAGAAGGGGCAATATTTTGACCAAAGGGAGATGTAATGACGGGAGGTTGGAGAAAACGGCATAATGAGGAGTCCCATAACCTGCATTCTTCTCCAAGTACGTATAACTAGAATGATGAAGTCAAAGACCATGAGATGGCCATGGTCTGTAAGTCATGAAGAAAAGATGAAAGCATATAGGATATTGGCGGGAAAGCTAGAAGCAAATAGAACACCAGGAAGACCTAGATGTAGGTGTGAACATAGTATTAAAGTTGATCTTAGGGAGGTAAGATACGTATATGGTGGGATGGTCATAATTAATGTGACTCAGTATAGGGAACAGTGGCGTGTGCTTGTGAAAGCGGTAATGAAACTTCGGATTTCATGAAATGTTTGTAAATATATGAGTAACTTGGTGACCTCGAGAAAGGTTCGGCTCCATGGAGTTAGTTAATATTGCCGTCTTTTTTTTTTCATGAAGTTGTTGCTTGCAGATTCGGAGGTAGTCTGTTCAGTTATGTTTTCAGATAACGCGGTAATGACAAAAACACTGCTTCAGAGAACTGTTGGAAGCTTAAGTAGTCATTACAATTTTGCTCATAATTACACCTTTCTTCCCCCCCCCTTGGCACTACAACCACAGTGGGCCTAGGCCTACCTCCATGAACTTGTCCGTTCACCTCGGTTTTTCTAGATCTTACACATTCGGTAGGACTCCTTGGGCGGGTGATCAGCTCGTCGCAAGGTCTCTACCTGTACACAAACACAGAAAAACGCACACACACAAACTAAACATTCATGGTCTGAGTAGGAATCGAACCCACGATCCCGGTTTCCAAGCGAGCGAAGACAGTGCATGCCTTAGACCGCTCGGCTACCGTGACCGGCCCAGTGCCGCTTTATCCACCACAAATCCCACATAAACTGATGTGATATCGACTCACGCTGCCGTGGTGAGTAGCCTCATCAACCATCATTAATTCTTACTGCTTACATATTTGCTTGCGCGACTTACGCTTCGACCCTGAAGATGGGAGCAGTACGTTCCTCCGAAACCTTGGAAAACTTTTGTCAGACCACACAACGTTCTGTAGAGACTGAGATTCTCACACCGGTGGCTGTGAAGGGTTATGTCTTCTGGGATATACGGCGTATAAGTGAAGAAAAGTGAAAGTAAAATTATCCAAATGCTCAACTAATTAATGAAGAAATATGCCACGAAGATGTACGGGGGAACTGGAGTATAGTTCCACCATTCTTGACCTCTGTATTAGAAGGACGTGAGTGGTCAGCTTCTCACCCCGGCCCCTTTAACCCCAAAGAAATAACATTCTGTAGCCATTGGATAGGAGACTGGTTGGGTCTGAGGGCCGGTCCGGACGTTATGGAGAAAAGATTAATCTTATCTCTGCAGGGAATTCAACCCCTGCTGGCCGGATTGTAGCCTGCCGCTGTACAGACTGAGTTGTTATTTATTATTATATTGTAGTACATTACTAGGCAACTGTTAGCTAAACACCTTCCCGAGTGTTAAGCTGTCAACAATAGACGTCCGTTGCTGGGTAACACATACAGCAAAAGGTGCCGAGACTGGTTGCTAGGCCATTGCTTGGTAACACGTCTCTGCAATAATGGATGAAGGTGTTTCTATGGGATTCGTGCCGGGGCCAAATAACTACGTTCTCTTATCAGCCCAATGGAGGCGGGGTCGAATACCTCCACCGTGACCCTGCAAGTCGTAGGAAGTCTCAAATCTGAGACAGTAAAATGTGGTCGTGACTCACAAGGGACTCGGGCCGGAGGAAGACTGCGCTGGCAAGGACCAGCAGCGTATACAAAAGGCAG